GCTGGAAAATGAAATAGGCTCACGGCTAATCTAGAAGTATTTAAGACTCATCTAATTTAAGGATGTAAAATATGCTCTCTTTGTTTAGATTATGTAGCACCCAAAATTTGGATGCCACCTGGTTTTAATACTTTGAAAGTGAATAGTTAGGAGTAAAAAGACTGTAGCATTAAGTATTGCTCTTACTGTTCTTTCAAATGTATTATAACCATATGTGCATGCAGTTTGTGAAGACATTTGCATTACATTGCTGTAAAACCTAAGTATAATGCTCCATTTTAGCTACTTATGTTTGCAAAAATTATCAATTTTTGTTATAGATATACATATATCTATACATACATATATATATACAATTTTTGTCTTGAGAGTTCTCTAGTTGTACTGTTGCTGTAAATATAAAAACAATTAGGATAGTAAACTTATAATCAATTTGAGTGAGATTGTTGTTAAAGCTACTGTGTGAACAAAGTCCGAGAAGGACAAGAGTGTCTGTTGGATCCTCACAGAGTATGAGGTATGCTATATTTGAGAGCAAAGATAATATGGATGGCATGCAGAGGGAAGCTGTATCTTATGGATTTTATTCCTTTTTAGGAATATCATCTGGGTGAAGGGTTAAACTACTTATGAGCCTTTCCTTTAGTGATATCTTTTTTTCCCCCCTCTGTTTTAGAGGGGTGCAATAGTAAGTGAGCCTGCTATTCAAGTGAGAAGAAAAGGCAAAGCTACTCAGGTGTGGACTATTGAGAAACTAGAGAACAAATTGATTGACATGAGAGACCTCTATCAAGAATGGAAGGAGAAAGTTCCTGAGGTATTAAGTACATATTTTTGAAAGATATCACAGATTAGCTTTGTTTTTGTCTAATCTCTTTTAATATGTTGTACAGCTGAAATGCAAAGACTTCATATGTGAAATGGTACAGTACTGTTCATAATTCTTTTTTCACCACAGCACTAAATGTGCAGAATGCCCACGCAGAGTAAAACACAGCTACGTTTTCTCCCCACTTGTATCCTCAAACATAATTGTGCTGATACTAGTAGTGACTCAGAATACCAGCAAGAACATGAATTTACCTGGCATGATATAGGTGCCATGCAGATGCACACTAGCTCTGAATGGAAGTAGAGAGCTACATTAGAAATAGAGTGATTGTATCGCTGTCGGTATCAAGGCTAGGTGGGTGGCTGGAGAGTGCTCATGCCTTTTAGACACACGTAAGGTGCAGAAGGCATAGGTAGAGTAGAACCTGGTGTTAAAAGTGCGAAATATTCTATAACTTCGTCTGTACATCCCTCAGCGTTAAAGCAGTGAAGAAAACAACTGAAGAGAGATGGTTTTAACAGAGAAACTGAAGTAGACTAAGTGGCATTTCCTGAGAATTTAAATAACGGGTTAGCCCTTAGAAACATGCCCAAGACTCGTGTGAAAAGCTTGTTTGTTTACTAGCAGGAGATAGATATGAGATTTGGTCTACTGGAAGGCATCCCTCTAAATATCCAGGTAGAAATGCGTAAGGAGTACATCTTGCTGTGTTGTGCCTGATATGGAGCATCTAAATTCCTTGTATCAAGAATCATTCTCAAATATCTTTGAACAGCCCTTGTGCCTGGGAATGTTTAAAATCATTATGCAGGGGAGATAGAACATCTCGTTTGTGCCCATGGAAGACAATGACGATTTTGCTGCTGGCTTTAGTGAAAAATGATAGCACATCCTTTAGTTATATTAATGTGTCTTCCTGAGCCAGAACGATCATTTCTTTGACACATGTAGTGCATAATGCATGTGTTCTGTGTGCTGCACAGAAATATGTAGGTCAAATGCATGTATTTGAAGAGGAAAGAGGACGAGAGGGGAAGGAGCTCATTATAATCAAGCACTCCACTGAGGAGTGCATATTGTACCAAGACTTGAAAGGAATTATTTGTGGCTGTGTATGGGGTACTTGCATAGAAAAAGCTGCAGAGGTGATCTCGACTCTATGGGAGTTGTAGGACTGCTTGTAGGCTTAGATGAGACTCGTCCTGCACCTACCCTTTTGCCCTTGCAGTGGTACCCAGCAGCCAAACCAGTTATTCATCCTGAGAAAGCTTTGCTCTCTCCTTCTGAAATGAGTAAATGAAACAAAGCAAGGTGAAACTTCTTGAAATCAATGGCCATTGTGCTTCCTCAGGGTAAAATCTGATTTGTCTGGACACTATTACAAAACGTAGGTCATGGTATTACTGTTTACCATTGTGAAGAAAGGATTGTGCAGTGTCTCATCTCAATGCTTTTGATTTGAATTTGTGGTATGCTCCCAGTCTCTTTCTACTTGTAACAGAAACAAACAAAAACATTTCTAGTGACCTCATTTTTGTACCGTGATCTTATACTTAGGGGTTATTTTTGAAATAACTTCTGTGCTTTTTAAAACAGATAAGGAAGATCATTGGCAGAAGAGGTGATCCTTTTTATGAAGCACAAGAGAATCACAACTTAATTGGAGTAGCAAATGTTTTTTTGGAGTGCCTTTTCTCTGATGTTAAGCTTCAGTATGCTGTGCCCATCATCAGCCAGCAGGGGGAGGTAAAACTAAATAGTGCCTTAACGCATAGTATGCTGCACCGGGAAGGATTTGTATCTATGTGGCTGCTGCTGTTTTTTGTTGGGAAACGTAAGATATGCTACTCTTTAATGTAAAAAAATGATGCTTATCGTCTTGTTTCCCAGTGTTTTATAAGTGATATGTATATTTTCTGTGTAATTGCTTAAAGTTGCTCAGCTACTAAAAGTGTAAAATAGAATTCCTGATAGCAATTAAAGTAACTGAGTAAAATTCAGCATATTAAGGTTTTGATATATGGCTGTTGCCTTGAGTGCTTTTTCTGTTATGTGTGAATTTAAAAGGTGAGTAGGTCTATATGCAAACAATTTCTTCATATTCTAGTCTTTTTTTCCTTTATTTTCTTCATCGTTTGGTTGTTGTGAGCCAGACAGTTCTAACTGTCCGTGCTATTTGCCTGTTTCTGCACACCTTCTGCAGTTAGATATCTGCTGTCTTAATGTAAAGCCTTTAAAGCCTTTTTAAAGCCTTTTTATCTGGGTATTTAGTATTTGTCTCACCCTAGGTTGCGGGTCGGCTGCACGTTGAAGTAATGCGAATCACTGGGTCTGTCCCGGAACGTGTAGTAGAAGGAGATGACTCATCTGAGAACTCTAGTGAGAGTGGGAGTCTGGAAGTCATGGATAGCAATGGAGAAATTATCCAGAGAGCAAAAAAGCTCTCCTGCAGGGTAAGTGAGAATACAGAATGAAGTTAAATAGATTCCAAGGTCGCAAACTGTATGTAGTTACATTCTAATGTAAAAATACTATGTTATGTAGGATATTGTTTGCTCAAAGATCTCTAAGGAGAAAAGAGAGATTTGAACTGGATCCAGTGCAGTCTAACTGGCAGTCGTTGCCACTGACTGAATTAATTCACTCTAGTTTCTAGAATGTGTAGGTCTACGTCATATCTGCGTTAGATGGTTTATTTGTTCATCTAAAGTAGTATCTATAGTTGGTGTCCGGATTCCGTCATTTCTGTGATTAAAAGGTGCTTTCCTCTCCACTTCTGTCCACATGACCTTGAATTTATCAGTCTTCGTAAAGAAAACATGTTTATTTTTGGGCAGGTTAGAGGTGTATAACTGTTTTCCTTGCCTCTGTGTTTCTGTATATGCAAAATACAGATCTCCAAAATAGAAACATCTTTAGGAAACAGTTGTTTCTTGGCTATTGACACCTTAATATTTAGTCTTTAAACACTTTACAGTTGAAGATAATATAATCATATTTCTGAGAACATCTGTTTTATCTCCTCAGGTAAAAATAAAAGAAGCAACTGGACTGCCACCTAACCTTTCCAACTTTGTCTTCTGTCAGTATACATTTTGGGATCAATTTGAGTCAACAGTAGCAGCACCAGTGGTAGATCCAGATGTGCCTTCACCTCAGAGCAAGGAAGCTCATTTTGCAGTGACCTTCTCTCACTGTAAGGTAATTGTTTTTATCATTAAGTACACTTATCAGGAGGATGGTATGTTTGAGAACAACTATTTAGAGTTTGAGCTTTATTTTCCTTGGAGGAAGAAGGAGGGAATCTAGTCGTATAAATAATGACTTTTTGCTATACTTTAGATGCAATAATATTTCACTTCATCACCTCTCTACAAAGTGCAGCAAAGTGGAAAAATTCTCTTGTAATAAGTGATCTTTTGAGTTCATCTCATCATGTCATCGTTTATGTCATCTTTAATGTGTATGGAAGCTATAGTTTTTGTAATGAGGTCTTTTTAAATGCTTGTTTGGTAAGTTCGGTAACTCTAAAAAGAGCATGAGAGCTATGACTTTTCATGCTTTGAAAATTTCTGTTAAGAACTTCAAATGCGTAAGCAGGAGTTGCTGATATGATTTGTTTTCACAGCCTGACCAGAGTGAAGTCTTAATGGTCCAAACTGTATGGTTTTGCTCTGCTGGTAGTTTGCTGTTTGGCCTGTCAAACTAATTGATGAGATCAGATTATTTCATCTGAATGTGAGTTTTTTTACCTTGTTTCCAGGACTATGTGGTGAATGTCACAGAGGAGTTTTTGGAGTTCATTTCTGAAGGAGCTCTGGCTATAGAGGTGTGGGGTCACAGATGTACAGGCAATGGCAGCTCTATTTGGGAAGTTGATTCTCTTCATGCTAAAACTAGAACACTGAGAGACAGGTATGAATAAATTACACAAAAAATGTTTCCATCAGCTTTCCAAAGGCTTTCTAGTACTTATGGTGCTAGCAGAAATTATACTGTGGTGAGACAAGCATCAGTTTCTGTGGGGATGTCTTTTTAGGTGGAATGAAGTAACTCGACGAATAGAAATGTGGATTTCCATACAAGAACTGAATGAGATGGGGGAGTATACTGCAGTTGAACTCCACCAGGCAAAGGATGTAAACACAGGGGGGATTTTCCAGCTTAGGCAGGTATGTATCTTTTCCCTGTCATCTTACTCATGCCTAAATTAATTCATAATTTTATTCTTATTTTCTCTTTCTTTCTCTTTTTTCTTTTTCTTTTTCTTTTCTCCTCTTGATTACCTGTTCAGGGTCATTCTCGCAGAGTTCAGGTGACAGTGAAGCCTGTACAGCATTCAGGAACGTTGCCTCTCATGGTAGAAGCAATTCTTTCAGTCTCTATAGGTGGCGTGACTGCCAGGTCAACTAAATTGCAAAGGGGCTTGGACAGCTATCAGGTAGGACAGTTACTTCTTCATGCGTTGCTTTTTTTACTGTTCTAGAGTCTACTCAGCATAGTTCCCAAAGGGACTTTAGTTAGCACACTGGTACTTGATACTGTTATCTTGCAGATTTTACATGTGTCTGAGGATATTATGTATAATGTGAGCGTATGGTGCTGAATCTGCTGCTTTTTTTTTTTTTTAAACTTGCTTATAAGTCATTGTATAACTGAGAAAGAACCAAGTGTGATATTTGGATATACGCAAGACAGTAGGAATAGGGAAGTGTTTTTTTTTAACCTTTGTGTGTAGAGGTGAAATTAATGGTAGATTTCTAGCTCAGTTAGTTTTCCTCTGTTAAAAGGGGTGTTGAAAGTTGAGGAGAGGAAAAACAAGAAAGTAAGTAGTTCAATGGGTGGAGAAAAGTCTCATAGTAGGATACTGTTTATCTTTTCAAAAGGGCTGAACTATTACTTGATCAGTATCAGAAACGGTTATCACTGAGTGCCAAAGGGCTATTTAGGCTAGCAGAACAAGGTCTTATTAAGAATAAATGACTTGAAGCTGATACTGGGCAAATTCACACGGGAAATAAAGCACCCTTTTAACAGCAAGGGCAAAGAACAAGTGGAAACAGACCACCCAGGGAGGTGAGGAAATGACTGGGTGTATTTGTCAAAAGTTACATTCAGAACCACAAGTAATTAGCCTAAATGCAGATGAAACCGTAAAATGTAAGGGTTGGTGATATACTGGATCAGTCCTTTTCTGGCAGTATATTCTGTGTTGTTGATTTGGGTTTTGGTTGGTTGGGTTTTTTTATTTTGGTTTGGGTTTTTTTTTTTGTTTTTTTTTTTTTTGCTAAATATACTCATGAACACTCCAGTCAGCTGAGATGCTATAGTCTATAACGAAGAAAAGTTTGATTCTACCTATTAAATAGAACTCTGGGGATTTGAATTTTGTAACTTTAGTATTTTACCATGTTCTGTGGCAGAAATGTTTGTACACCAGTTCTGGAGTATTTCTGTGAGTTTCTGTTGAGAAAAATGCATGTTCTTTTGTGTTTTACAACATTTATTTTCTCCTACCAGAAGGATGATGATGATGGTGGTGATATGGATAGTTACCAGGTATTGCTGCTGTTGCTGTCAATCCTATGGCATGGGGCACAGCTAATGCTAATAGCCAGCAACTTTCAAGTGAATAAGATACTGGAGCAAGCAGAAGCAGCTTTGAAATATATTCTGTGCATTTCAGAGGCTACCTGGGCTATAAAACATTGCTATTCCAGTTTACCTTGTGACTTTATACTCTTGCCATGTGCTCTTTTCTCTATTACTCAGCGATCAGCTCTTCTAACTGGCTACATGAATTGCTATGTGAAAGCTTAGCAACTTCAGTTTAGAATGGAAATAGTTTCCAATAAATATCTCAGTAAAAAATCCTGCAGCTGCATGAATCTTTGCCAACCAAAATTCACAGTACAGGGGTTTGTTTTTTTGTTTTCTTTTTCCTAAAGAAAATGTTTTAACCTTTTAAGTTGTGCAGTTCTCTGAAATGCTAGTGGTGAGAGAGAGTGGAAGTTATGAGTGTGTGGGATACATGAGTTCTGTGAGGCATTTTTCTATTTTGAGCTCATCTAAAAGAAAACAAACTTGGAGCCTGACTTTTTATGTGATGAGTAGATATAGGGCAGTCGCAATTTAAAAAGCGTAAAAGAGGAATCATTTAAAAGATGACAAAGGGGAAAAGAAATGCCTAAAAAAGGAAAACACATTACAGAACCTCTATTTGGAAGTCTTATTTCAATTACAGGGCTTTACAGAAGTCAAACCAGTTGGGCAAAAATGTTAACATCCCTCAGGATAGTGTACTAGGTTTTACAGCAATCTCAGAAATGTCAGTTAGGTACTAACTTCTTGCGGGCTGTTGATGCGCTTCCTGACAAATCACAGAGAAGAACAAACTAGATTTTCCTGTGATACCACAAAGCATGACTGCATGATGGGTTTTGTTTGCATGAGAAATCTTTTAATTGCACTGATAGCAGCTACTAGCTATGGAATTTTGTGCAGGTTTAAGGGAATACTGATCTGTCTAATCTTCAGGAGAACTAATGATCAACTCATGATACCCTTTTTCCTACTGTTAAAAAGTGTGATTGCCACTTCTATGAGTAATCAGCTTAGTCTAGTGTATAATTCTGTACAGCAACTGAGAAATAGTCACGTTTTCTTTTTCTCCTGTTGGAATCTGAATCTCAAAAGCAAATGAGCGTCTGTTCATGGGTGATGAGCTACTTAATCAGCGTGCATGCTATTCGGGGAAAACTTACCTGTATTGTGCAAGCCGTTCAATAGCAATTCTGATGAAACTATCAGAGAATTCACTACCCTTTATTAGGCTGCGTGGTCACGGTTTACCGTCCTTTCTCTTTCGGCATTAGGAAGAAGATTTAAACTGCGTGCGAGAAAGATGGTCTGATGCGTTAATAAAGCGCAGAGAATACTTAGATGAGCAGATTCAAAAGATCAGCAATAAACAAGGTTTGAAGTTTAAAAGCTTGAAATTTCTCTTGCAAGTACTTTATTCACACCAAAGATATCATACATATATTATTAATCTCTTTTACTGTAGAAAAATCAGAGGATGACATAGAACGAGAAGCCCGACTAGTAGAACAGTGGGTAGGGCTGACGGAAGAGAGGAATGCGGTGTTTGTCCCTGCACCAGGCAGTGGAATTCCTGGTGCCCCCGCAAACTGGTACGTTCAGGAAAAACGTTGCAGTGCCTAGCTTTTTTGTGTGAACATTGCAAACTGCACAGTAAAAGTCTGAGGATGCATTTTACAGCTTTCCACGTTCTCCTGTATTACCACAACTTACACTAAGCTGGCAGAAGGCTAAAAAATCAGGTGCTAATTTGAATGTAAAGAAAAGTTTGCTTAATTAACGTGTTATATAAGCTTTCAAGGTTTGAACTTCACCTTTAAATTTAAGATTTTCCATTTTCTACAGTTCTGAGAAAGCTATCCTGTAGTGTTTTAGGCCTTTCAACAGAAAGTGCGACTCAAAAATGAATTAAGACACTTGATAATTTCATTGAAGTGGAGTAGGGAAGAAAAAAAATCTAACTCGAAAGGATGTGTTTGTTCCACCTAAATTTCTAAGAGGTTTGTCTTTAATTTCATTTAAATTTCTGTTTTAACTAAGATCATCAGAACTAAATATGAAAAATGAAGAATGGAACACATTAGATCTGGGAAAGTGTGGACAAGAAACAGCTGTAATAGTGTGTACACTTGTGTGTTTGATAATATCCAATATCTCCTCTTTAGTGGGGCAAATGGTTTAGTGATACTCTTTCCTCTCAAATTTCTGAGTTTGTTTCCTTATCCACCTGAAATACTGTTGTCCAAATAGCTAAAAGTATATATATTGGTATAAAGACTGTCTTGCCAGTAGTTACATATCCATTGGTTTGAAAGGCCGCTAACCTTGACATGTAAGGTGACTAAAATATATATTCTTATTTCACTGTGTTATGTAAAAACAATTAATTTGATAATAAACTGAACGGGACATTGAAAATAGTCATCCTCATAGCAACTGCAATGCACTGTGCCATGTGACATGAGTTTAGTAAAGCAGTACGTTTAGCTGCATACGTGGATGTATAAAACATTGTCTATGCAATATATGCATTTAAACTGCCAGCCAAAACGCTGAGATCTTTGATCACTGGTTACAGTTTATATGACGCTTGCATGGAGATCTGTTTGCCCAAATTTGCTGAAGTATGTGTTTGTCTTCCTTGTTGATAGCAGTTTATTTGTTTCAGGATTCCACCTGCAGGAATGGAAACACATATACCCGTCCTCTTTCTTGATTTGAATGGTATGTTGTAATGGCAGATTAAGAAACTTAGTAAAATAACTAAATTTTGTTTGGAACAATCAACTGATGAATGGAAGAGTGAATCTTAAGTGTCCAAGAAAATATAAACAAGTCTGGGAATGGCACTGGCTGATATGGCTTTTAGAACGTTTTTTTCTTCTGAATCCATTTATTAGAATAATTAAGCTCAACTACTTTAAAATTTAGAGTAAAGAATTGGGGAATATATGAGCATTAGACTGTACAACAGAAAATAGCATGAGAAAGCAAGCTTAATGAAATCCACATTTCATTAAAGCACAGATAGAAAATCTCCCAAGTGCTACAGCACTTCTTCCACTGACGTATCTGCAGAGATTTAAACAGCTGGTTTAATAAAGAATATATTAAGAGTATGATATTTTGTTAGAGCGTCTAAGCCTTCTCCCTTTGAAGGCACATAGTTTTACTACTGGGTTATGTTCTTAGGTCACAGATGCACAGTAAGCAACAAGAGACTGGTGTTAGGACTATGTTTTGTAGGTTTGTCAGCATAAGCTTGGACATGAAGCAGAAGAGTATCCACAGGCTTTCTCATATCCAGCACTTTTATAGGCCAATAGACATGTTCAGATAGGTATCGCATGGCTGCTTTAGAATCTGCTTTTCAAAAAGGATATACACTCTTTTCTTCATAGATGCTCACAAGAGATGTTTTTGTTTGTTTTATGTTTTTATTTGTTTTTATTATCAGAGGATAATAAACTAACTTCTGTCTGCTGACTTGCAGACAGAAGACCAAATAGGTTACTTAAACAGATCCATGGATCATTGCACAACTGTGGGTTGTTTTTGTTTGTTTTTTTTGTCTGCTAAAAGCCTAATGTAGCCAGAAATATTATTCTTGTTTTAAGATTCCCTGATGCATCGGAAGTGATTTAACTAAGAGATGCGGGAGTCAGGTTGACAGGTGGAATTTTCTCGCTCGGTGATTTAATTTCATGAATATCTAGCAATAGTTTTGAATTCTGTTCAGGTCACGTATGAGAATGAGTTTGGAGAGAATCTTAGCCTAGGTTTCCTCCCTTGTTTCTGTATGCTGAAATCATCTTCAAAATATTGCGTAGTAGTAAGGTTAATCAGGATTAAATGTAGTATGAAATATGGATAGGACTTTATTACAACTCACCTCTATATATTTATATCCTTAGGTGTAAACTATTTCATTCTTTTTCTTTGTACATTCCTTTCATTAGCTGATGACCTCAGTGCCAGTGAACAACTTACAGGTCCCCATGCATCAGGAGTTAACTCAATCCTACCAAAGGAGCATGGGAGCCCGTTCTTTTATCTACCGATCATAAAACACAGCGATGATGAGGTAAATTGTTAGCAAGCCTCCTTCTCGGCAACTGTGACTTGCGTTAAAGCTTTCTTCTTTTGTTTTCTTTTCTACTTGTACGTGTTTAACCCTTATTACTATTTTTCTCTTAGAAACATCATCTACATCTAGTGCTGCCTTTATTTTCTGGCATATTTGTTTAAGATGCGAGAGAATATGACTTAGTAGGTCTTCTGCCTTAATTCAAAGATGACAAGTCTTAACTTTTTCTGACAAAAGAGTAGTTCAGCAGCCTGACTCAAAATCTTTTTCTTCTTCCCTCACCCGTTCATCATTCTTCTTGCAGGCTCTTGATACTGCAGAGAAAAGTACTTGTTTTACTGCCCAAACTAGGCAAAGCTTAATGTTTAAACAAATCTATTTCTTTTCCTTTGTATCTCACAATTACTTTTTATTTAAAAAGTTTGAGAGTTGTTGGAAATGAACGGTTCTGAATACATTTTGAAATTACTTAACTCTCATTTTTTTTCCACATCTCGTACCAGTTCAGTTAAACCAACACTTAAGAGACTATTCCCAGCATAAATAGGATGCTGAGGCTGGGGGGGAGGCAGAGGAAGGAAGAAGATATTCTGCATGATGGGAAAGCATTTATTCTGCATAGGTCTTAACCTAATCCAACACATTTGGAAGTTTTCCTGTTGAATTTGATAAGCTTTTAATATAGTTTTAATATAGAGGATTTGTATTCCTTTCCCCAGTCTTGCTCTGTTTCCCCTCTGCCTCCAGCTTGCAAAGACTTCCTTTTTGGGGTAGGGTTTGCACTTTGCAGGGATTATGCTCACCATTGCCATCCACCATATTTTAACACCTCTCTCATGCTTCTAATAAATGCCTTACTGTGAGTGGGCGGATTTGCTCCATTTTGTTCAACGACGTTTATTTTTCTTTCATTAAAGAATGATTTTAGTTCATGTTAGATTACTGTAAACTCTACCTGTTGTTAGAGTAGTTCAGTCTTTAATTTCCCTTTTTCTGGTCTACTGATTTGTCTGTGTAGGTCTCAGCCACTGCTGCCTGGGACTCCTCCGTCCATGATTCAGTGCACCTGAATAGGATAACTCCTCAAAATGAGAGGATTTACTTAATAGTTAAGACCACCGTGCAGCTCAGTCATCCGGCTGCAATGGAACTGGTATTACGCAAAAGGATTGCAGCCAATATTTATAACAAGCAGGTAATAAGTTTATATTAATTTTGCATTGTTTGATATCCTTAATTTTATGAATGTGTTTTCCTAGGTGCTTGCTTCATTTTGCTTACGTTTAGTCTCTCCAATGCTTGTGAGAGACAAACAAAAAAAATAGATTAGCCTAGGTTGCAGTGAAGCTGGGCACTTCTGGCATATCACTTCAAGCTGTTCATTTATCAGTCCAGTTTGATTCAGAGTGTAGGAGGTGCTGCTTTTGCAACAAAGACTTGGTTTACCTTCTGACCTGTATAACCTGAAATGTTCTTTGATTCTGAGAAGTCTGCAGTAGCTTGTCTAATGTAGGGTTACTGTAGCCACTCCCTGAGAGCATCTTTGGAGCCTTGGAACGCTCAGTGTAAATGCAATATATTCTCTTCCTTTCTCTTTGCTACTCTCAGTAATTACAAATTAAGTTTGTTCCTCACCACTACTCATACGTATACACTTTCCACTAGCTTCTACACAGTGATTTCAAGTAGAGTGTTTTCTTTGGCCACAGGAGTGGATTCTGTTCTTCTTTTACAGTTTCATGGGTTTAGGCAATGAGATGCACTCTGAAATCATGCTGCTTTCTCTTTCCTAGGTGATTAAGACCAGGAGCATGTTTCAGAATTGCTTCAGTTTTTTCACAGGAGAGGAGGAAAAAAAAAAAAAGTTATTGTATTATTAAGCAATTTACTAAGCAGATGAATTCTGTGCCCTTTTGTATTTGGTTTGTTTTCTTTGTTAGGTTCATTTGTCTAAAATATCTTATTACATGAAAATTAAGTCTACAGTTAGTGATGTAAGGGCTAACTCTCCTGACAATGAAACAAATTAAACTCGTGGTTTACATGAAAACTGTTGTTGCTGTTTCAATTATAGTTGGAAATCTGAGTTGTGCTTTGATATTGTAAAAGGAATTTTTATTCCTGTTTAACATGTTACTCACTAAATGAAAAGTATGGGTTTCAGACTTCTGCAGCTGCATTTTCTCTGTTACAAGCATCAGTGCAAAATAGGAGTAAAATGTTACTGATTGGACTTGGTAGTGTTTTGTACTGAATGTGACCATATGAAAATGCACAAGTAGCAACACTGTAAAGCATACATGGTCATTTGAGCTGAGAAGCAACTTAGCAAATTATTATCCTGAAAAACGTGCTTTTGTGGTAAAATTTTGCGTTGTCACCTTTTTCTTAGAATGTCATAAATAATCATTGTTAATACAATAATTCAAGATTACTTTGTTTCTAGAGTTTTACTCAGAGCCTGAAAAGGAGAATATCCTTGAAAAATATATATTATGCCTGTGGAGTGACCTATGAAATAGTATCCAATATACCAAAGGTAAATTTTACCACCTTTTTCTGGCAAATTCACTAAAAGGAATAGAATGACCTAATATAGTGGGAGATACTGCCTGGGAAGTGCATATACACTGTGGCTGACATGAGGAAACTTGCCAAAGTATAAGCGGGGAGATCGTTTTTATCTTTAAATAGAGGAAAACTGGGAATTTTATTAATTTTGTCTTTTTTAATGTGAACTGAGTTCCTGTAGTAGAAGTATTTTTGAAATCGTATGAGTGTCTAAAGGGGGAATATAGAGGCTACTTTAAAGCGTGTTTAGGTCGGTGAAAACAGAATAGCTGGAAAAATTAGTTTGACAGCAATCTAAATAGCTTTATATATAAGGCTTGTACAAATTTTAAACTTACTATAAAACTGATTTAAAGGTAAACCAATTGGACAAATTGAAACATAAATAAGCTTGTCACTGTGTAATTGTCACTTTGTATGTTAATAATTACCATTTAAACTCTAGGGAGATCACAAAACAAATTTAAGATTTGGGAAGGAAGTCATTAGTTAAATCATAACATAGGAGGTTTCAAGTTATATTCTCATTATCCTTAAAGGAGATGGACTACAATAACTGTACAAAACTTATCCCTAGTTTGAACTCTTCTTAGTTCAGCGTCATTTATACCAGTGTTGAAAAGTCTCTGCTCTGTGCACGGATTATTGATTCAAACTAATTTCTGGATTGAGGGGGTCTGACTAAATGAATTTACACATTAAAAAGGTTAAAAATAGGCTTTAATGTAAAGAACTGAATAGTGCAAGTTGCAATTTAGGCTACAGAAGAAATTGAGGATCGTGAGACCTTGGCACTGATGGCGGCAAGGAGTGAGAACGAGGGCACATCTGATGGTGAAACTTACATAGAGAAATACACCCGAGGCGTCCTGCAAGTGGAGAACATTCTGAGCCTGGAACGACTAAGACAGGCAAGGAGAAGGCACTTAGTGCAACTTCAGAAATGGATCATTAGAATTTGTAGAGATGCTTGATGTCCTTGTTTTAAAAATATTAAATGTAGTTTGCTTTTTGGAGTTTATTTTGTTTGTTTGTTTTTTTGGGCAGGTAAATGTAATTGTAAGTTACTTCTGTGAAATCTATGAAGTGCCAACACTGGTGGGTCTAGTAACTCTAGCTAGTGATAGTGTACTAGGGAGAACCTGAACAGGCAAGGGCCAAAGGATGTAAGATTTGTTGGCTGTGTGTGTAAATTAGGTTTTGTAAATACCTAAACCCTGTTTGCAGGTAGCTGTAATTAGCCACACCGTGAAAAAAGCTTCAGCCCTGCTTGATGACTTCTCACGAGGATAACATTAAATTGTCCAGCTTTGAAATGAGTACATCTTTCAGTATGATCTCTTCTTTATATAGGCAGTCACAGTCAAAGAAGCACTGTCCGCCAAGGCAAGAAACATCCGCAGGAGCGTCAGCACACCAAACGTCCACAACGTAAGAACCATTTTTTTCTTTAAAGTAGAGCTAGTGTGCTTTCTTCTGTGTGTGCGTGTGTGTGCATGCACACATGTGCACTGATGTAATGTGTAATTGTTATTATACAACACTTGAGTATTCTGAGCTTGGACTAATACAAGAAGTATAGAAATGCTGGTACATTTAATATAACATTTAATAGAAACACCTCCCCACAACTCTTCATCCTAAAAGATAACAAAGGGGATGGGAGGGTGGTCTAAACTCTTCTCCTCTTGGAAGTAATTAGATTTGGAAATAGTTTAGGATGCTTATTGCCCTGATCCAGAAAGCTTTTGTTTCAGTTTTAAAAAGTCCTATTTTACTCTTTGCATAATGTAAGGGTAGTTTTCATTTTGTATGCGTTTTGTGCATCCTCCTATCACCCACTCAAACAGCACAAATATTGCTGTCCTTACAGTCTTATGTGAAAACAGAACATAATGGTTGTTAGGACTGAACGATTAGTGTCTCCTAAAGGCATTCTGTTTTATGAAAAAAAGCTAGGTATTTTCTCATTCTGCCTGCTGGTGTTTTGTAGGTATGCTGTAGCCGATTAGATCTTTCTGCCTGTGATGAAGATGAAAAGGTTTGTGAATTTCAATATTCAGAAAAACAAGCAGCACGCATTTGCAGTGTTTTTTCTCTTAAAACAAGATGTATTTGAGATTTGAAAAAATTATGTGTGTGCATAATACTCCTGCTAAATGCTGCACTGATTATATAATATTTTGGATTAAACCTCTTTTTGTCCTTCTCTGCTCTTCATGTTAGCATTGCAGAAACTGATAATTAAGAGGAAATGTTAAAGATAGAGGAAAACCTAATAAGCTTTTTCGGTGAAGTATATTAGGTTCTAAATAATCTACCCATGTGAGACAACAGTGTCTTGAAGTCCATAACTTGAAATTCCTTAGCTTTTTGTTTTTTAGACAGCTATCTTGTTTGCCTGTTAATTTCTCCGTGTTTGCCTGTATCAGAGCATATAATATTATATAATACATAAAATACATTTATTTATTTTTTTGTTGTTTCTTAGGGTTGGTCTGAAAGTCACCTAGATATATCTGACTGTTCTTCCAGTTATCAAGATGTATCATGCTATGGTACTTTACCCAGGGAGTCCCCTCGCAAGAGCAAAGATGGCAGTGGTGAGACTGTCAAGTACATATGTAATGACAATTTTTTTTGATGGCTGTTAGGAAGAAAAGTACATTCCTGCAACGTTAAACTGAAAATTAAATTATCAGTGCTTTTTTCCTATTAACTGCATTACCCGGCTTCTTGCTTTAGCAGCTGAACTTAATCTGGAAATAGATGAAAAAGGAGAAATGCAAGAAAGGGATAGGAAATTAGGGGTGTCAAAAAACAAAAGGAAGACAGAAAAATAAGCTAGGTGTGAAACGTAGCAGCAGAAATAAAAATAAATGAATTGCTATTAGCTTGTGAATTTGAAAATTAAGATACTTTTATCAAAGGGTCTTTTTATGGGTCGCTTACACGATTAAGATATTTGGTCTTCCCTTTCATTGTGCCACAAATGCTCTATTTGGTTTAGGTCAAATTGTAGCAAGGTCTTCCTGAGCAGGCGACATAGGTAGAGAAGTGCTGGAGAAACGAAGTGAGGTTTTCTTTGCTTCCTTGCCTATTTTTTTTATTTTTGATCACACTGATTGTGCATGATTCCCAGCTTGACTCCAGTGCAGGACTGCAGCAGGAATTGCAGCAGAGGAAAGCTCGGGCAAAGGAGGAAAAGAGCTGTCAGGTCTGATTTCAAGGATACTTCCTGCTGTTTTTATGACTCAGATGAAAAGGAGAAATAATGGAGCCTCAGAATGGAGGAGGCAGATGTTGCTCTTCTCTGCTTCCCTTCTATTTCCAGATTCCTCAAAGGGACATAGCTTCCCCTCGTAGAGCTCTGCGCTGTCTCATCCTTGGGCAGTGGCTGAATACTACAATACTGCCTGGCTTTCTGTAGCCATCAACTTTACAAATGCATGGCTTGACTTTCCATGATTTTAGATTATTCTTTTGCAGTCGAGACATGAAGAATTGACATAGGCTGTGTTTGTTTTCTTCCCAGGTGTTATATCAGAGAATTCCCATGCTTTAATGGCCAGTCCCTTTAAAGCATTTTCTCCTCAGCCACCAAAGTTTTTCAAACCTTTAATGCCAGTGAAAGAGGAACATAAAAGAAAGACCCCACTTGAAAGCCGACCTCTGCTTAGTCAAGAGGTAATTTTTGTGAACAGCCTCATTTTTATGAACATAGAGTTACTTTGTATACTTGGAAAACTGTTTGCAGCATGCATCTTCTGCAAGAAGATTTTGTAATTCTGTAAAATTAATCAGGATGTACTTTATATATGAGTTTGGGGCTTTTTTGTTAGTTTTTGCTTTTTTTGTTTGTTTTTTTACCTGAAACATTAGATTTTTTTTCACTTCTTGGTAAGTATTTTTCAGTACAGGGAACACTTGTGTTCTATTTTAAAGTAAAAATATATTTGCGTTTTTCTTCAACAAGGTGCTGGTGTATTTTTTTCATAGGTAAAAAGTAATTCTGTCAAACGTGTTTCAGGATGATTGCAATTCTGACCTTTATTTCTCAACCTAAAACACTATTGGGAGCAGTGCATGAGTTTCTCTAGCTATTAACGTGAATTTTTGTATAACTAGCATGTGTGTTTCACTTTCAAAATGTCTTAATGCTTTCTAACCTGCACGCATTTAATGTTGTGGTCAGTGTTGTGTTCTGTGTGATGTGTTGTGTGTCTTAAACTTTGCAGAGCATGCCTTCATCTCAGGTACATTGCGCTGGCTGTGTTGTGCCTTCAGGAAGTAATGCCAGCAGCATGCCAGTAGAAAGCAATAGCATTCATGAGGAAAAGATTGTAAGTTTTGTACTGGTTTCTGTCATAAGGCCTGGTGGTGGGCTTAGGGCCATTTGGTGGTGGGTGTAAGGTAATTACGCTACTGTAGCAGGCAAAAGGGGTTATGTGCACCTAATCACTTGTAATTGTAACTGATGGTTATAATGAACAGTTGCTTACCTGGCTTGTGAACGCAGTCTGTAATTTGAAATAACTCAGTTGATTTTTTTTTTTTTTTAATTATTCGTGTGAGATTTTTCTTGTAGGGAGGGTGGGAGAGGGGAGGCTTTAGCTTTTACAGCGCACAAATGATCAAGTAAAGGGTGATTTAGTGAATCATTTTGCTGTCACTCTAATATATATCTGTGTATGTTACCCAGATTTTGTGACTATACCCCAGAGTAAATGGAATGATCCCATTTGGTGTAAGTAACCGTGCATTTAGGTGTGGGTACACTATAAGAGCTTCTAGTTGGCTGATGTGGAAGTAATACAACTAAAATAAGATCGCAGCTTTTTATTAACCTGCAGCCTGTCGTCTTCATTATTCAGGCGGTGCGTTTAGGTGGAGGGTTTTTATTTTTCTACTCACCTGTCAAATTCTTTTATCACTGCTGCTTCAAAAAAAGGTCTGCCATCATTTCTGCTGTGTGAAAAACTCATTTTTAGGGCTGTGGGATGTGGCTGTAAATATTTACTTTAATCAGAGCTTTAGACTTAAAATTTGGAACCTTGAAATAATTTCTTTTAAGTATTGTAGGCCTTTTATCACACAGAGTGCCAGTGATAGATTCTTCATGTTCAATGCTTTTTTCCTGGCCTTATAGCCAGACAATCAAAAAAAACTGTTCTTGTTATTTTTCTAATGCCGTTTTGTAGATTATAAGGAAGTATCCCAAATGTCCTAGTGTTTACATTTAAACTTGGCTTCTGTCTGGGTAGCAGCTGTTTTATTCTCTATAGTGTTACTTTTCCGTACCGTAGTGTGACTTAGCATGTCAACTGAGTCACTGATACAGATAACTTGAAGGGATGTAGAAGGCAAAATCTTCTAGTTGGTTGAAAAACATCCTGTAGAAACTGAATTGTTACAAAAATTTCCCTAGCAACTTCAGAGCAATTTTGCTCTCTTGAGTGAAAACAGGGTCCCAGCCCATGCATGTCTGGAATTAACCTAGATATTTGCCTGTGCTGTTTTCCAAAGATGAGCAGAAGCTTTCAGAGCTGGAAAAAGGGTAAGGTATGCACCAGGTATCCTGCACCAGGCCTTCCCAGTTAGACTGAGACTAATGCCCTGAATGCTTTAAGTTGACAGTAGCCAACATGGCTCTGAAAAGAGCCATTCTTCTTATTCTTAGCTGCTTGCTCCTGTCCTTGCACTGACTTCTCCCTTGCCTCAGCATAGTTTTTTGTTTGATTTGCTCTGTCCAGCTGAAAAATGCTGCTTCCAAGTTATTTCTGACTTGGATCCATTCCCTTGTCTGATCACCTCGTAGACACTTGAAGCAGGTACAGGGGAGGCAGGCAAGAACGAGCAGCCCCTTTTGGGGAGGAGATTGAGACTGCTGCTTTGGGTAGCAGTGCCAGTTTATGATGGTATAGGGCTTATGAAACGATGGTTTCTGTTTTTAGGGCCTGGAAAGAAAGCCTGTGTAAGATGCAGGCATGCCAGGCTCCTCTGTATTTTTCGGAGCTGGAGTAAGTGTCTATTTTAACCAGGCAGGAGTATGTATTGCACACATGCGGCTGAATAATGCTCTCAGAACGAATTCAGAGATTGAGGTAGGGCAGTGTCATGGCTCCACGTTAAGCAGTCTGCTCCCCCCGCCGGATTCACAATGCAGTTTTCACATGGTTAATCAGTGCTCTAAGTGATCAGTCCAAGGCACAGAGCCTCTTACTCCAAATTAATTTTTGGATGATTGGTGTAGCTTCAAGTGGTGATGCTTGCTTGCGTTTTTTTAGATTGCACAGCATGTGAAAAATCCATTAGAAATAACAAAGTGGCTAAACATACAGAAAGCTAGTAAACTTAACTAGGTTAATGTTCTGCATCTAAACAGACATGTTCAAAATACGTCTGTGAAAGATAAAAAATAATAGAGCTGAAGCTGTTAACAAAAATGTTTATCTTCGCTTGGCCTGAAATATAGCATTCAACCTAAAATTTCAGACATTACTTCCATATGTGTTAAATATTACAAGTATTTCAAAACAGAAGCTTGACGTCGTGGCATACTCTACAATACGTGAGTACAGTGGAATATGTTACGGTTAAAGTAAATGTTTTCACATGGAGTGTATTTGAATTCTGCCTGTAATTAACACATCTACTTTTTTTTTCCCAAGAAGAAATTCCCACGGCTTAATGCTGTGAAAATGGAAGCACCTGTGGTGCAACCACTGAATAAGTACTGCTCATTTGAAGTGAGTAGAACAGGAACTAGCATCTTTGAGGTTACTTGAGAGCTATAATTTAAGGATCTGAAGATTCAGATACTTTAACTTCCCTGTTAACGACAAAGAAAACATGTTTGTTACAAAGCAGCTGTATAAAAGCCTCTCTGTGTTGTAGTTCTTGCTTGCTTTGCTTGTGTTATTGCTGAATCTTCTATCCTTGGTTCTTGCTGTCACATTCTTCCTGTCATCCGTTAAGTTTATTTTTCATTATAGTCTTTCCATTACTTCCTAGGGAAGTGGCTGCAGCTTCTTTACCAGTTCTTCAAGGATTTTATTCTTTGGTTCTTCCACTGGCTTGACCAGTTCAGGAGGGCTTCCTTCCTTTTTTCCCCTGCCTTTTTTATCTATATGATTTTGAAGAACCCTGAAATGGCTTTATTTCTGGAATTTCCCTATCAGGAAGCTCAAGAAGACCTTTGGAAGGAAATATTGCTTGTCCCCACAGTAGCAGCTTTTTTTGTTCTCGTTACCTCCCATTTAGTGCGTTCTTCATAAGGCTGCATTTCTATACTTCATCTTTCATATTCATGAGGATAGATGTGCTAAAACCACACACAAATGTCCCTGTGTCTACCTGTTAGACTTGTCCTAACCAAGCTGCCAGTGACCTGCATGTCTGGAGAACAACTTATCAGTTATAGGTACTCTTACCCAGATTAACTCTGAACGGAGCCCCTGTGTGTCCTAAGACTTTTCAGTAAAATGAGGAATCTTGCAGTGTGCTCAGGAGGAATGAAGAACTGTTTGCTATAAAAATGTCTTTAGTTTCAAGTGGATGTTTAACTAGAAATATTTCCTTTGCAAAATGCTTATCAATTTTGAATTCACTAAATATCTTAAGAAACTCATTATATTTGATAAATGAACAGTAGACTTTGTAACATTTCAAAAATAACCTTTATTTCAAAGTTTTGGTTCTATGCAGAAAATTAATAAAGGGGGAAGGGAAGCAATAAGCAGAATAACTGAAAAAAAGGTCCCTAGGAGATGAGCAGAAGGCACACAACAGAGATGCTTTGGATAATGCTTTAGTGCCTTAGAAGAGGATATTCATAGATCCAGTAAAGTGGACATGAGTTTTTCCCTTTACTTTTAAAGAGACTGGCATTGTTTTCAGATCTAAAGAACGAGGTTGTTAATAATAAAAATCATTTTTGTTAGTCTTTATGTGAGACCTCATACCACTATTACTTCACTCCAGAGACATGAATCACTTCAAAATAAACCCTTCATCCAAACTTGTGTATGAGAAATAACTCCGCTTGAAACAGAGTTGTAAGAAGTAGTAAGCAAAGGATGCCAAGCCTATACATGAGCAAATACTAATAATCTGAAATGTGGTTGGATTTGTCAGAGATACGTGGACAAGCAGAGGCCTCTTGTTCAGACTCTGGTTGCTGTGCTAAAACAAATTTTAACATGACTGGCGGCACTGATTGAGCTTAAGAGGCAGTTCTGTATGGGTAACGAGATTGAGTTTTATTAGTTATGAGCTTTCTGCAGACAAGGAAAAATTTAGGAATGAAAACAAACCTTTGTTGCAGCAGAAGGTCATAGTGAGCAGTGATCGCTTCAAAAATAAAGGATAAAACAAAATGAGATCATTTAGAAAGTCTTTACAGTTCTTATTTAAAAAAAAAAAAACAGGCTTCTGGTTAGGACAGAAATCTTGTCACATAAGCATGTGTTTCCTAATAGTCCCCTATGAGGATGTTTTAGATGACAGCATGATTATGACATAAGCAAACCGAATAAGCTTCTGTTTGCTCTGTATGTATCTCAAGCTTTGTTTTACAAAGCTACTGGAAAAGAAGAGAGGTGATGTCATATGCTACATCTACAATGTTTAGACTTTAGGCTCAACAGTGCTGAGCCCTATACAAATATCCAGATACGGTTGTCTTACAAAGATTTAGGTTTTTTTTGGAGTTTTCATACTGCAAAATAAAGTATCATAAAAGATGGAAGTGAAAATTGAAGGGAAGCTGGTACCTTAATTGAAAGAGCGCGCTGTAGAGTGGATCCTCTTCCTGTATGTCATAAGGCAAATCACTTTAGGAGTCTCTGTCATCTTTTTCCTCATCTGTAAAATATTTTAAGTGTTTACCTAACTTAAGGAGCTGTGAGAACAGTTATTACAGTCAGTGGAGCATTTGGATTCAGAAGTACAAAGAACACTGAGAAAAGTCAGTTGGTAAATAATGCCGTTTTAAAGAGGCAGAGGGGCAAGGTCCAGTTTCTCACCTTTGATAAACTTTCAGGTGAAGGATAGATGAGTTCAGCAAGCCAATGGGAAGCAGTTGTTGCGGTCCTAATGCAAACTGAAACAACTTCACAAAGTACCCCCAGGATATCTGCTAAATAATAACCTAATTTTGGCTCATCTTTAATTGGATGCTCAAAACAAAATTCTAGCTAGAGGTAATGTCTCTGCTTGTGGGTCTGAAAGCTTTTCTAATTTCTCCAGCTAAGCCAGTTGGTCTAATAAAGAAGTGTTGCCTTTACCTGCAAACTTTGTCCTACTTATATCCTCAGATCATCATAGGCATACCAAAATACTGTGACTGAAATGGTGTAAGATAAGAGCTGAAGTCTGTGTTTAAAACAAAAAAAACAAAAAAAACCCTTATATAAGTAGAGACAACCAGTTATATGCATCTGCTCTAGCATTACACTGTTAAGTGACTTGCAGTACGAAAAAGTACATGCTGTGTAAGCATTATGTTGTATAGGTCAAGAGAATAGTAGTTTATACAGGTTAGTGTTATGCACTGAAAGAATGCGAGTCCTGGTTATTATGAAGCATATGAAACTTTTTCAAGACAACGTTTATCCTAAATTTCATCTGTTGGTTCTCAAAATACGTTGTTAACGGGTTAAATACTACGCTTTTCCTTTTTCAGTGATGATTCATGGCAGGTTTCTGAAAGCATGAAACTACTTTAGTTACCATACAGAACTGCCTCTGGAACTTGCATTGATCAATATGTGAAATCCGTGATGCACATACGGGGATAGGCACTTGAGCTCCTCTAGACTAAAAGTTCTTGAATAGTTTTTATTTTTCTTAAAATAGTTTTCTTTCTATTGGGAATTTACTTTAAATGAAGCATTTCTAAAAATACATATGGGGAAAAATGAAATGCTTGAAAGCATTTATGTGGAGTCTTGCCTGCTGTCTTTTGTATGGGCAAGGGGTACCATGTTGCTGGGAGATTTCCCAGATGCATCTTGGCAAGCTGAAGTCCTCAGCCCTTTGTTCTCAGCTTGAGATGGTGCTCTGTGGAAGCGTATTTGTGGTCTTGTCACATTGCATCACTGCTATTTATCAAAACAAAATTCAGGAGATCAGGGAACTACCTCCAAATTCTCTGATATGAACTAGAATCTTGCAAAATCCTCATTTGTTTTCCTCCAAACATGTACATGTACGCACACAAACGCTTCCTAAAGACTCTGTAGCATTTTATTCTTTCACCTTTATTTTCAAATACTGTGAATGTGTTCAGGTGTGATAGCTAAACAGTGGCAAGGGGTAAGCAAAGCTATTTAGCCTTATTGCTATCAGATTAGGAGAAAATCCCATTGTGCAAGTTAGTTTTTAATAATCAGTGTTGCAGCTTAGACCCTTTAAGGCCTCTTCGATTCATATTTTCATTTATCTTGCGGGTGGTCAGGCAGTTCTATAAAATACCTCCAATAGGGCCATTTTAATTAGTCTAAATCATAGAAAGAAAAGTTTTATAATACATGGCTTTCAAAAATAGAGTAGAGTGAAAAGATGCACATATCTAACCTTTTCATGTTATGAGCTTTCCTTATGCCAAACTTTATTGCTTTACCTATTTTGAACTATTTAGAATTCATCTTTATTTTCTAAAAATTGAAGAGCTCAGATAACATAGCTCAGTGGCTTTTTTCAGAGGTGGCTTCAATCCTCCCAATAGAGAATATTTTTATACTTGTGTGTGTGTGTGTATGCCTCTGTCCTCAGAAGGGGAAAAAGTCAAGGAGGGTTAATGTTTTTGAAAACTTACAATAGTAAATTGCTAATCCCATTCGACTCTTTCTTCTTTTGCAGGACTCTGAGGAGGAGGACAGTGAGTTGGAGGCCATTAATAAGAAGTTAAGTCCACAAGGTTTTCAGAGTTTCCGGCCTTATGTGCCGGAGGAGTTTGCTGACTTCAGTATTTACAATGCTAGCCTCGAAAACAGGGAATGGTATTCTTCTAAATCGGACTTCATGAATTCACGTGTTCTTGAAAAAGAGGTATCCCGCAGCCCCACCACTAGCAGTATCACTAGTGGCTACTTTTCCCACAGTGCCTCTAATGCTACTCTGTCTGACATGCTTGTTCCCTGTAGTGATAGCACAGATCAGCTAGCCAGTCACATGAAGGAGCTGGACTCTAACGACTCTTCAGGACCATCTCTTGCACACGATTTAAGATCATCTTTGAACAAGGAGTTTCGAGAGTCAGAAAAGGAGTTAGTGACGGAAAAGTTACGTGTATCACCACTGAAACAAAGCAGTGCCTTAATGGAACAATCACCACTGTCCCTCAATGCCACTAAAAAAGGCTCTCAGCAGTTACCTACAGCTGGATCATTTTCAGCATTAGATTCCTCGGACGGCAAAAATACCTGTTGTACAGTCGAATTTTCAACCCGTGAAGCAACAGTTGAGCACACAATGGATGTTCTTGAAGATCATTCATTTACAGAGTTTATGGGCGTCGAAGATGGAAAGGACTTTGACCATTCGACAGCTCCACAGTTATGTTCCCCTGTGTCCTCTAACGCGGCGAGTGCCTCAGCGTTACCCCAAGGTGCTGACAAGGAGCAGAGCGCTCGCGTAGGGCAGCTGGGCTCTGCAGCAGCAGACAACAGCAATGCAGACGCTGTGGAAAGTCCTGTGCGTTCTGTATCAGCAAAAGAGACTTCAGACCGTCAGGCTAATCCTGAAGCTTCTGCAGATTATTTTACTGGGAAGGACCACTTAGATGGTTCTGACGGTGAAGAAGGTGCTTCTACAGATCAGGCCCACGTCTTGCCTAGCTGGGTGGCGGTGGGTGAACAAGTCTGTGTTGGAAGTAATAAGATGGGCACAGTGAGATACATTGGAACAGTGGATTTTTCAGCTGGAATCTGGATTGGAGTTGAACTAAATGTTCAGCTGGGTAAGACTAACTAAACATGCTCTGGGTTATTTACGCAGTTAGCATGACTTATTTTAAAGTTGCGCTTGTAGGGATGCTTTGATTGGTAAGGGTTAATTTTTAAATACCTATCTGAAAGCCCTGTTCTCCTTGTGTTATGCAGAATAATGGTTTTGTGTGTTGAGTGGCAGTTCCCATTGCTACCCATCTATTTTTACAAATAAGAAAAAAAAGTGAAGCCTGAAAATAGCACTTTTTTTTTTAATCAACATTAATTCATGGACAGTGCCAATAATGGAAATCACTTGTCAAACTGGTTTGCTGTCTGTAGCTTTCACAGAGATCTATCTTTTTTTTTCTCACTGAGGGAAAATTTAGTAACAGAGCACAATTTTTATTTTAATGTATTTGATTTAACTTCAATCCAGTTTGATGGGATTAAAAAAAGAATCACTGTACCATGTGAGTAAGAAATTCCTACAACAAATGCCTTCTGATCTTTTGAGAAGATGGTATTTTTAACAGCTTAGTGAATTTCAACGCTGATGCCAAAAGTTTCTCAGATAGCTGAGTTCTGGGCTTTGTAAGTAATTGATTTTGAGGATGGCAGGTTTATTTTATAAAATGAACAAAGTTTGACCTTTTAAAAAGGTTAGTTTTCAAAGTAATACTGCAGGGAATTGTCTTTTTGATCACAATTCAAGTCCTCCTTTTCAGGTTTCCTCTCCCTAGCGTGTGGTGTCCTTCTGTTTCTATCATTAGAGCTAAAGCCTTGACTATTCGACAAATAATAGTCAAAGATATTTACACATCAACACTACAGTTATATGTGCTAATGAAATTTCCGACAATTAATTCTGTGCATTTATTTTCATTGAAGGGAAGCACGATGGAACTGTAAAAGGCAGAGAGTACTTCCGCTGCAAACCACGACACGGTGTGTTTGTTCGTCCAGGACGCCTCAGTAAAGCACCAGCTTCCTCAAAGAAATCAAGTAGCACTTCACGATCTCAGGCATCTTCCACTTCAGAGAAACGGAGAAGTTCTCTACTTCAAGGGTCATCATCTGCTTCTAAAACAGGAGGAGATGTCCTCTGTCATTCAGGAGATGCGGCGGCTTCTGCTTTTTCTAGGAAGCAGGAAAACAGGAAATCTTGGATTAACTAAACTGCAGTATTTTTGCACTTACTACACACATCGCTGTGTAGAAAACTATGGATTTTTGAAGCTATTGTACATTTTAATCTGTCCATACCGAATGTGTACTCTCTAGAGTCCTTGACTTAATTCCCTAATTTTTTATAAATAATATATATATTATATATATATGAATGTGTATCTATAGTTTGTCTGCCACGGAGCAGATATGGCTGCCCACTAAAATACAGTTAAAGCTGATCTGTAGATAATTGAGGTACTGGACTGTTTGTTACACAACAACTTGGGAGATATATTTTAAACAACAAAGAAAATATTTTATTGTGGAAAAACAAGGATGTAAATCCGTATTTGAAAAACAAAAAAAACCACTACGGTTTGCTGTTCTTAATTACCAAAGAACTTGTTTTAGACTGACACATTTGCTGTTTATATCTTTCTATTGTAAGTGTTTTAACTCATAGCTTGGTGCCATGTTTCTTTTAGTCACTGGGCACCATGCTGCCTTATGTTCTGTGTTTAAGCACACTGAAATATCTGACTGCTTCATATTTTTTTGTCTTCCTAGAGGCCTGCCACTGTGCTGACTTGGCATTGCATTGAAAAGACTAACAATGCCTGAAGCTGTAAGTCTGGCATTTCATAAGTTAACATAAGCCAGCTGGGCAGTTTGACTGCAGAAACAGTATTACTGCAAGGGTATGAGAGGACAACACTGTGAGGTTTTGGGTGGTTTTTTTTGGTGGGGGAGGGAACAGGGAGACAAAGAAGCAGTAAATGGATCATGACTGCAAACTTTGCACTTGTTACTTGCTGGTTATTATCAAGATGAAATAGAGCCTGCTAAAGTAATCTTAACCTGTAAAGTTTATTTTAATAATGGGAATAATGGAGGGATTTATGTATGGTGCTCATGAATTCCTAAGAAGGTTGTTCCACATGTAGATACTGTAGATGCCTGTACAAGTGTTCTGGTTATTTGTAAAGTAACATGGTAAAAATGAGTGAAGTGAATGGCCTGCTGTATCTGTTCTTTGTTTCTTAGCAAGTGAATGAATGAGATATCTGGGACCTTACTGAAAAGCTGCTGTTTGTTCTTTGATTGTTGTGTACAGTAAGCGGACTCTAGTATTTTACTATTTGCTGTAAAGAACTGTAATTTATATACTGCCATACTGTATTTAAGTGGTACAAACCTTTTGTGTGTTAGAATACAGACTGTTTACTTGGGATTTTAAAGAAAACGTTTTGCTTGTATTTGATACAATTAGGTTTAAACTTGATGCTGTTACTGGTTCATGGTGCTCAGATTCAAAGTACTTTGTAAATACGCTGAAGGATAAGATGCTCAGAGTAGAAGACCGGATGGTATTAATCCGTTTTATCACTGACCGGCCTAAGATGAGAATAGCTCATGGGGATACTCCTCTGTTCCTCAGCTGCTGGTTTTCCCCCCCTTCAGAGGTGGGGGAGCGGTGCTGTGCAACTCCTGGCAACGGGTGGCGCGGGTCAAGGGGAGCCTGGACACGTTCCTAGGAGCTAGGTTCATTACTAACTATGTCAAAGCCCCAACTGAGCAGAACACAGTTGGCAGCTGGTGGGGGAAATTGAGTGTGTTTGCCCTTGACACTGCTTTTGGCGACTCTGAGTGAGGATTCTTTTGTGCTTATGGAATTGATTTTGGTGGGACAAACATCTTTGCAGATCCTTTCATATTTCTGATATTCACCTAGGGTTGCTCTCACTGCATTAATGATACTGCTGTTGGAGGAAATTACCGTAATAAAAGAACCACTGTATGCAAAAGCATTTTATCAAGGACAGCAGGTGATCCTACAACTCTGCCAAGTATCTACACTCAACCCACCATCTTGAAATTAATTTTAGATGTCACTTCAATCTTCCTAAAAATAGTCTCCCACACATGCACCCACTCTGTGTGTGTCTCTCTCACTGTCTCACATACTCGCTCACTCACCCAGATATATTTCTCTTAGGACAGCATAAACAATTTTGAAAGTTAATGGGGTTATTTTCTTAGGGCAAAGATGTAGTACTTCTACCAGGTTAGCATCAGACACACCAGGCTGTTCATTGTTTTAGGCTGTTGAGAACATAGAATACATGGTTGCTCAAGAAACACTGGAATAATTGTGCTTCTTTTGGTATACAATCTATAAATGCCAGAGAAACCTAAACAAGCCAACCTATTTGTGTACTATACACATTTGGCATAACTTATGCTCTCATGGCTTCTCTTACTATTGAAAGGCCTGTACTTCTGCGAACCTTCCATGCTGACATGTCCTGCCCGAGGTTAATGTAAAGTTAGGATGAACTTACCTAATGAGTGCAATGCAATAATGTGAAAATGCAGGCATTTTATTTGATTTGCTCCTCAAACTTTGTTGCTTAAATAGAGAAGCACTTTTTCTATTAGTAATGTCAGAGTAACAGTTTGGTGTATTGAACTTCATAATCAACTGAAGAATGCGGTGAATTTTGGCCATGGTGACTGTCCAACTGCATATTGTTTTTCTTTGGTTTTTATAAAATATTATCTTAACTAGCATCTAATAGACACTGTCTAATAAGCAGAATATACAATCCATGCTAAGCCCTAGGTTTAAAAATAAACCAACTGCAAATATAATACTGAACAATACAGAGTAGAACCAGCCTGTCATTTGTCTGAGCTGGCAGAACAAACCTGTCATCTCAGTGAGTTGGTTAATCCAAATAGTATTATGTAATTTTAATCATCAAGATGGTTACAGTGTTAAATCAGATCGTACTGGTCTTTATCTTGTTTTCTGAATTTGCTACTATTTTTTTTTTTTCAAGCTAGGTGCTTTCATGAAGATTCAGCCAAAGCATTCAGAGAACTGAAACAGCTGATGCACCCCAAAAACCAAAAGCACAATGTTTAATCAGTACTTCTCATTGTTTCAAATATTCCCCTGCAAAAGACTTCCTTGACATTTGCAACTGAAGGCAGGATATTAAATGCTGTGACGTAAGTAAAGAGTAGCCCCGTGAAAAGTGTAACGAATGAAAGGTAGGCTGTAAACCAGGGGGACCAGCAGCTGTATGTTCTCTTCCCCTACACTGTGCATAAGTGCTTCTGACGTTTTGCCTGTCCCTCCTGCTTCCCACTGATAACTCTTTATGTCCTGCAGGTACCGGCTGGGTCAGAGGCAAGAGCTGCTGCCTGGTTGTGGGGGCTGATTAGCAGGGTGTAGGCTTGAGCAGTACTTCTGCTGTAATGGCAGAACTTGCATTTCAGTCTGTCTTATGATGGGGTGCACGTTTTAGGGGACTTCTCATCTGTTGAGCTGAACGTTTTGAAATGATATCTCAAATTGATTGAAAAGAAGCTGAAGAGAATGAAAATTTGGGAAGGGTGGAAAGAAAGAGGATGGATGAAAGCAATTGCTATGGCTTGTTTCTACAGGAAAACAAGGTACAAACAGCTTGCTTCCTAAAGACTGTGGAAACTGTGAATTAAGCTGTCTTTTTTTTTTTTTTTTAATGTTGTGAATGCCTAAGTGGTGTTAGTCTAGCAGTGTACAGGAGTCTTGTTGATTAACATGCAAACTGTTAATGCCTGAGACTGGACCTCAAACTGATGACTCTGGAGAAGCATCTAGCTTTTCAAATACACTTGTGTATAATTTAATCTAATATGTGCTAATTCTGACATTGCACAAGCCACTAAAGTAGAAAAGGAAAAGTACATGGCAGTGTTCAGAGGGAAGCTGTGATTCCACGGAAGTTGGTTGCCCTCCATCCTCTCCTGCCCAGACCCTGCCTTAAAACCAAATGTGGACTCTGGTCAGTCGCCCTAATGAAGTGTATTTGGAATACACAACCCTACCAGAATACTTGAATGTTACATTTCCTTGTGCAGCCCTGCAAGAATCAGCATGTTACATAGGTAATTTTTAAGAACGTGGAGAGAGTGTGATTATATAGTCTTATTAGAGAAACGCAGACATGGCTTTGAAGAAGATAAAATATTTTTAGTAGATAGAAAAAGGGAAAAAGTGTGCTTCCTATTTATGCTGTTAGGCAAATTGAAGCGGTACGAAAAATGCTTAGCCATAACGTGTATAAGGTTTGAGTGTATTAAGCTTCAGGAACTGAACCTAAGGCGGGGGGCTGCAGTGGCCGGCCGGCTGTGCTGCGGGGGCTCTCCCCTTGCTGGCGGCTGGGCGCCCTGGGATGCGCGGTCCCACGCAGCCCTCGCTCCAAGGTGGAGCCACTACGGGATTAGGGGAGTAACATTATTAAACGCCATCTGGTAAATGGAAAAACGCGACCGCTGGCTCAGACTCTCTGCTAGGTTGCTGAGAGCAGGGCTTTAAAAAGGGGGAAGGAGGATTATCCTTTCCCCGCTCTTGGGCGCCAGGCTGTGGCCCAGCTTGCCTCTTTGGCCTTAGCGCCTAAACGTTTTGTGGTACATAACCAAGAGATAGCGCTGTTCAAATACACTTGCATGGCAACGTCATTGCAAAACCTCGGCCTTTAGCTTTGCCGGCATGCATTTCTAATAAATTTATTTATTTTTTTCTTTAAATTCCTCCCCCAAGCGCCGCTTCCAGAGCCACCGCGCACGCAGAGGCGATCACGTC